GCCCCAAGCACATGCTTGGAGGGCTGGTGCTTGGAGCCGGCCCTGCAGGCAGGGTGAGGGGATGTCAAGGGGTATTAGAGAGTATGAGGGGGGAGTGTCTATGGGGTGCCAGGCAGGTGAGGGGGGTGTCAGTAGGGTACCAGGGTAGGTGGGGGGTGTCAGTGGGGTACCAGGGCGGGTGAGGGGGTGACTGTGGGGTGGCAGGCAGGGTGATGGGGTCACCAGGGTGAGAGGGTGCCATGCAGCGGGGATGGTCCCTGGGTGCTGAGGACAAGCAGGATTTCCCTGAGAACGCTAGGAGTGGGGAAGTGCAGAAAGGCTCCCTGGCCCCCTTTACCTTCACCAGGAGGGAGCCTGGCTCCCCTGGTGCATGGAGAGTAGTTCATATCGTATGCCAACAGTGGGAAGATGTCCTTGTTCATTCATGATTTATCAAGTCACAGAGTTTCTAAGGGGCCCTCCTAAAGGGGGAGCAAGGGAAATTCTAGATTTACTTGTGATTCTTGTAGCTGAACAGTGTGGGCTAAAGGAACGTGTTGGGTACACGTAAACTCCCTCACAGTCTGTTAGTTCATTGAGCAATGAGACACCTAAGTTAACACCTAGTGTGTCATTAGGCACAAGGCCAACTACATAATGAATTGTATTCCTTCCTTCAGCCATCTGAAAGTGGACTTTTCCTTTTACAGAATTTCATCTGTCTCCTTGTCCAGATAGGGTTATCTTATTTTTCCCTACCACATCATTTTTCCTACTGTGTTTATCCCATTTCCCTGCTCAGATGTAACCACTCTCAGTGTCATTACAGAAATTGCCTATCAGGGATCATGAGGGATCAATGCAGCCAGCTGCTTTGACTACAAAACCTGAGTTCCAGCAGTCCTGGAACTAGGAATGAGAGTGTTAAGGTTACCCCCTGGATGCTCAGGCCTCATGCAGTGTAGTGGAAAATATTGCTAATAAGCCACAATAAGAGTAAAACATTTAAAGCACGAATGAGTGACTTTCTCTATTAGTTCACTTCACAGGCATGACTTGGAACAACCTCTATTGACATTCTCAAATAGGATTTTTAAGTATTTATCAAAATGTACTATGTGCATCCTGTGACGTGACTTGTAATGAAAAGAGAAAATAATGGAAACAGTTTCTGCTCTGCATGATTTTTACCAGATTCCAGATGTAGAGAAGAACCTGAGATGTCTTTACTTTGCTGGTACTAATTTCAGCCCTATGACTGGAATGTAAATATATATATTATTTTAGCATAGTCTCATCTCAGTTTGTGTGAGATTTACACATATAACTCCTATTAATGCTAGTGGAAGTTATATACATAAATCTCTTTGCATAGGGATGATGCTATACCTATTTATCAGTGTCTGATACAAAATGAAAAAGGCATACATAAATGTACGGATGAATAGGGTTTTTTTCTGGGGAGATTTCTCAAATTTTAGATTGGTTTAAAAATCTAGGGAGGAAATTCAAGAAAAAAAAAGAGGTGAGATTGCATCATAACAATGATATGTACAGTATTATATCATAGAATCATAGAATATCAGAGTTGGAAGGGACCTCAAGAGGTCATCTAGTCCAACCCCCTGCTCAAAGCAGGACCAATTCCCAGCTAAATCATCCCAGCCAGGGCTTTGTCAAGCCGGGCCTTAAAAACCTCCAAGGAAGGAGACTCCACCACCTCCCTAGGTAACGCATTCCAGTGTTTCACCACCCTCCTAGTGTAAATAGTTTTTCCTGATATCCACCCTGGACCTCCCCCCCTGCAACTGGAGACCATTGCCCCTATTGCGGTCGTCTGCCTCCACTGAGAACAGCCGAGCTCCATCCTCTTTGGAACCCCCCTTCAGGTAGTTGAAGGCTGCTATCAAATCCCCCCTCATTCTTCTCT